ACATACATACATACATACATACATACATACATACATACATACATACATACATACATACATACATACATACATACATACATACATACATACATACATACATACATACATACATACATACATACATACATACATACATACATACATACATACATACATACATACATACATACATACATACATACATACATACATACATACATACATACATACATACATACATACATACATACATACATACATACATACATACATACATACATACATACATACATACATACATACATACATACATACATACATACATACATACATACATACATACATACATACATACATACATACATACATACATACATACATACATACATACATACATACATACATACATACATACATACATACATACATACATACATACATACATACATACATACATACATACATACATACATACATACATACATACATACATACATACATACATACATACATACATACATACATACATACATACATACATACATACATACATACATACATACATACATACATACATACATACATACATACATACATACATACATACATACATACATACATACATACATACATACATACATACATACATACATACATACATACATACATACATACATACATACATACATACATACATACATACATACATACATACATACATACATACATACATACATACATACATACATACATACATACATACATACATACATACATACATACATACATACATACATACATACATACATACATACATACATACATACATACATACATACATACATACATACATACATACATACATACATACATACATACATACATACATACATACATACATACATACATACATACATACATACATACATACATACATACATACATACATACATACATACATACATACATACATACATACATACATACATACATACATACATACATACATACATACATACATACATACATACATACATACATACATACATACATACATACATACATACATACATACATACATACATACATACATACATACATACATACATACATACATACATACATACATACATACATACATACATACATACATACATACATACATACATACATACATACATACATACATACATACATACATACATACATACATACATACATACATACATACATACATACATACATACATACATACATACATACATACATACATACATACATACATACATACATACATACATACATACATACATACATACATACATACATACATACATACATACATACATACATACATACATACATACATACATACATACATACATACATACATACATACATACATACATACATACATACATACATACATACATACATACATACATACATACATACATACATACATACATACATACATACATACATACATACATACATACATACATACATACATACATACATACATACATACATACATACATACATACATACATACATACATACATACATACATACATACATACATACATACATACATACATACATACATACATACATACATACATACATACATACATACATACATACATACATACATACATACATACATACATACATACATACATACATACATACATACATACATACATACATACATACATACATACATACATACATACATACATACATACATACATACATACATACATACATACATACATACATACATACATACATACATACATACATACATACATACATACATACATACATACATACATACATACATACATACATACATACATACATACATACATACATACATACATACATACATACATACATACATACATACATACATACATACATACATACATACATACATACATACATACATACATACATACATACATACATACATACATACATACATACATACATACATACATACATACATACATACATACATACATACATACATACATACATACATACATACATACATACATACATACATACATACATACATACATACATACATACATACATACATACATACATACATACATACATACATACATACATACATACATACATACATACATACATACATACATACATACATACATACATACATACATACATACATACATACATACATACATACATACATACATACATACATACATACATACATACATACATACATACATACATACATACATACATACATACATACATACATACATACATACATACATACATACATACATACATACATACATACATACATACATACATACATACATACATACATACATACATACATACATACATACATACATACATACATACATACATACATACATACATACATACATACATACATACATACATACATACATACATACATACATACATACATACATACATACATACATACATACATACATACATACATACATACATACATACATACATACATACATACATACATACATACATACATACATACATACATACATACATACATACATACATACATACATACATACATACATACATACATACATACATACATACATACATACATACATACATACATACATACATACATACATACATACATACATACATACATACATACATACATACATACATACATACATACATACATACATACATACATACATACATACATACATACATACATACATACATACATACATACATACATACATACATACATACATACATACATACATACATACATACATACATACATACATACATACATACATACATACATACATACATACATACATACATACATACATACATACATACATACATACATACATACATACATACATACATACATACATACATACATACATACATACATACATACATACATACATACATACATACATACATACATACATACATACATACATACATACATACATACATACATACATACATACATACATACATACATACATACATACATACATACATACATACATACATACATACATACATACATACATACATACATACATACATACATACATACATACATACATACATACATACATACATACATACATACATACATACATACATACATACATACATACATACATACATACATACATACATACATACATACATACATACATACATACATACATACATACATACATACATACATACATACATACATACATACATACATACATACATACATACATACATACATACATACATACATACATACATACATACATACATACATACATACATACATACATACATACATACATACATACATACATACATACATACATACATACATACATACATACATACATACATACATACATACATACATACATACATACATACATACATACATACATACATACATACATACATACATACATACATACATACATACATACATACATACATACATACATACATACATACATACATACATACATACATACATACATACATACATACATACATACATACATACATACATACATACATACATACATACATACATACATACATACATACATACATACATACATACATACATACATACATACATACATACATACATACATACATACATACATACATACATACATACATACATACATACATACATACATACATACATACATACATACATACATACATACATACATACATACATACATACATACATACATACATACATACATACATACATACATACATACATACATACATACATACATACATACATACATACATACATACATACATACATACATACATACATACATACATACATACATACATACATACATACATACATACATACATACATACATACATACATACATACATACATACATACATACATACATACATACATACATACATACATACATACATACATACATACATACATACATACATACATACATACATACATACATACATACATACATACATACATACATACATACATACATACATACATACATACATACATACATACATACATACATACATACATACATACATACATACATACATACATACATACATACATACATACATACATACATACATACATACATACATACATACATACATACATACATACATACATACATACATACATACATACATACATACATACATACATACATACATACATACATACATACATACATACATACATACATACATACATACATACATACATACATACATACATACATACATACATACATACATACATACATACATACATACATACATACATACATACATACATACATACATACATACATACATACATACATACATACATACATACATACATACATACATACATACATACATACATACATACATACATACATACATACATACATACATACATACATACATACATACATACATACATACATACATACATACATACATACATACATACATACATACATACATACATACATACATACATACATACATACATACATACATACATACATACATACATACATACATACATACATACATACATACATACATACATACATACATACATACATACATACATACATACATACATACATACATACATACATACATACATACATACATACATACATACATACATACATACATACATACATACATACATACATACATACATACATACATACATACATACATACATACATACATACATACATACATACATACATACATACATACATACATACATACATACATACATACATACATACATACATACATACATACATACATACATACATACATACATACATACATACATACATACATACATACATACATACATACATACATACATACATACATACATACATACATACATACATACACACACACACACCAATACTTACCTAGATATACCACTTCCTCCCTTGTTTCTATAGGGTTTTCCATCTGTTGCTGAACTTCTTGTTCCTGTATCTCCTGTAACTGTTGTCTTTGCGTTACTCTCAGGAATGATTGACGCTTGTTTCTACGGAAACTCATCTGAGTGACAGGTCTAGGTACACGCCCACCTTAAACATTAAAAATCAATATGTATAAAGTAACAGGTGTTCAGTGAATTATTTCTTAAGGATATATTTTTTCCCCGGACAAGGAAATGTCTCAGATAGATCGAAAACTATAACAAACACCTATGATAAACTAATATATTTTATTCCCTGTGGTTTGTTATAAACATATTTTGCTATGTAAATAGTTATTTCATTGAAAAACAATTTAGATTTTTGGGAAAAGGATTTTCTTGCTATATGGTCCTTATGCTTAACTAAAATGGCAATGCAACAAATAACATGTATGTAGTGGGGAATGTTCACCTTTTCAGCCTTCTGTATTGAGGGTGAATGTATCGCTACAGCAAACATTAGTACACAGCATAATATACATAGAGAGATTAGTAATTAAATGTGAAAGGCAAATTAATACTTGGTGAATATTGATTATATCGACAGAGGGCAAAAGTTTGACTGGGCAAACTTTTCCAGGTATACAGTACCAGTATACAAACCTCGGCTACATTTGCATATTCCGGTTGAAACGGTACGTGTCGTGCAGAAATATTCCACAATAAACAAATGCACTTGTACCTTTCTATAAGCAGAGCTAAAAATGCACAGTTTCAGAGAATAAAAAACAATGTATCAAGAATATTGTGCCCTTCTCTCACGCATCCACTGAATTACATAACGTATCTTAAAAACTCCATGTGGTTTAACATTGTTTAAGAAAGAAATAACGCAAACTAGCAATAGTCAGCATTTTAGTTTCGGCCAGGTACGTCCGGACCCCTCAATCTACACATGCCAAAATTTCCTGAGGTCAGCCTCGGTTCAGATCTGTACCTGTCGTTTTCTTTACAGGTTCAACCGGTTCAACCATTTCAACTGGATACGTGAATGTACCCAAAATCACTTCCTAAAGATAGACAAATTTATATGTGTCACATGACTCTTACCATCAGATACTTCCTCTAGTCTCTTCCTCTTTACCTCGTCATTTGGGTTTTTTATTGTCTCCTTGTCATTCTCATCAGCAGTTTCTGCCACTTTCAGGAACACCTAACAATCAAACGCAATGAGGTAGGACTAATTTCATAAAGTGTTTAAAATGGAATATTGTAATGGTCAATTCTAAGAATTTTTCATCTTTTTCACTTCTTCCATAACTGTTTATTTTCTTTTTATTATAATTGAGAAAACAGAAACCAAAATATTTAAATATTTTTGTCTCTTTGCTTTCGCTTTTTATTTTTCTTACTTGACCATTTTCTCAGTTTAGAAATAGACAAACAAACATTAAGACTAGTTAAGTGACTCACCTCTTCCAGACTGGTATCTGAGATTCCGAAGCTGGAAATGCCCATGTCTTTATGACAGCGTTCCAGTTCTTGGAACATAAACACAAAATCGCCCGTCTGTGGGCCGTAGTCTGGCAGCTGGTACGTAAGCTCTGACTTGTTGCTCTCCACAAGCTTTGCCTCAATCACAAATTTGTTTATAAAGGCTGTCAATCGCTTCTCAGAAAATGCTGACGATATAAAGACAAAATTAAGATAATTATATGACGTAAGTAGTATGTGTATTTTTCGACTGCCAAAAACTGTAACGAAGTGTTCGAAACCATTTTTTCTGGCATGACTATAGTTTTGATAAATTATTTCTGAAAAGAAAACCATATCTTGCGAGACTTCTATAATGAATATAAGATAAACAAAATATAATCAATAACAGTGTTTTGAGCGTAAAAAACTCAGCAGGGCCAGACCCTGGACATCAAATTGATATATGTGTACTACACCTTTATAACTGATTGAGCTACCTGGTCAACAGAAGTTTCTTTGCCTAGCTATGCTACAGCTATATCCAAAGGGAAGTTAGGGGAGATTACTCTATATAGGAAAAAACACAGTACAGTGGGACAGGGATCTTTAAGTTATAGGCAGGAAACGGGTAAAACGCATTTGATATAAATCTTTACGACATGCATGTTATACCTTTGTCCTCAGCCTAGTTTTTACAACTAATTTATCTTATAACACTGAAATCAATCTCTGAATGTACTTGTATATACTAGTATGTAATGGAGATGACATGTAAGTACTTTGAAGTCAATGGTATATGTATACACACCTGGTTTCAGATCACCATCAGGCGGGGGAGTCGGCATCAGAAAAGAAATGTCATTATCATTAGACCTTTCTGCAAATCCTTCATCCACATCTAGACGACCCTTAATAAAAAAAAATCAATACCAAGCTCAAATACATTGTAAGAATTATTCTTCTAATATATATTCTCTAATCAGAATAGATGGTTTTTGCAGTAATATTAAGTATTATAATCAAATCCCTTCCATAAATTTTAATTCCATAAAAATATATATTTTTCTGCCACTAATTTATTGTACCGTAATTTTTTTATCAATGTAATCTTATTGAAATTAATTATTAAAAAATGTTCAGTTACATGTAATTGTAGAATACCTCTCTCCGTTTTGGCTTCAATAATGGCAGGACATTTTCATATATCATCTCGTACTCGTCGTTTTCCTCGTCTATTTCCTCCGCACCCTCCCGCACCAGAGTCATGTAGTAGCCGTTACCGTAGAGAGACTTGAGGAAGAGGCTGGAGCCACAACAGCAGAGCTTTCCCTGTGAGATGATCGCTATCCTGTCTCCGAGGACGTCGGCTTCATCCATGTGGTGAGTTGACAACAGGATTGTACGGTCTACACAAAACACAAGGTATAGATAAGGGTTATCTTTTAGACTTATATGTGGAAATTTTCCTTGAGTTGTAATGGAAAATAGAACAAGGATAGCAGGTTGGATGGGGATGAACAGTAGGACATCTTAAACAGGAATGCACGTTTCAGCAGAATCACAGAAAAAATCGTAATTCTACCAATTTCATGACAAAATGTGACAACTGAATGTGAGTGAAATCAAAGAAATAAAATAAACATAACACAATAAAATAATATATATTCAATGGAATTTTAATACTGCTTGGAAGAGTACACAAACTAATAGTTAGATAAATGAGTAGTGGAAGGCTTTCCTCCGCTTAGTGATATGCTTAAATTCAGCGGGTAGTCTCGTCTGATCTGAGGTCGGAGTGTGAAAGGCGCATAATAAAGGCATGATGGTTGGATGTTTTTTTGTTTGTACAGTGGAGAGCTCAGGGCCCTCAACTCAACTCTATCAGCACTCCAAGGACATAAAATTCAATGAACAATTAAAACAATAAAAAAACTTCCTATTATGGAAACATTTTTTTTAAACAGTTCAAAGTTTGAAGTAAAAATGGAAAGTCAAGACAACAAAATGTCTCTGTCATATTCAGTTTGTTTATGGAGTCTGGCATAAATTTGCCACTATGTCCATATATCTTACATACGATAATGAAACAGTTTCAACATATGTATTGGGGGGAAAAAAACAAATCTTTTTGGAACAGGGTAGATGATAATGGCTTATTGCGACATACTTTTTTTGAACTTAAGTAGGAGTTCCCAGATCGACCGCCTGGCATAAGGATCAACACCTGCCGTTGGCTCATCCAGGATCACAGTCTTGGCATTTCCAACGAACGCTATAGCAACAGAGAGCTTCCTTTTCATACCACCTACAAAACGATAACAAAGGGTGAAAACAATGAATAATTGAAATATAAATCACTATTTTCTTTCCAACAAAAAATCCAGCTTTTATCAAGAAGCAAATCATTAAAATGAATAATCATTGTTGAATATTAAAAATAAGACTTCGTAATGAGACAATTACAACCAAAAAACAAGTACTATTTTATGCAAGGTATACCACAAGATCTTAAAATAAATTGTTTACTGGGAAATTTTTGCTGCAGTTTAACCTTCGCATTTTTTTGCCTTCTGTAATGAGGGACGAATTTATCCTGAAAGCGAATATCAAAACACACCAAACTTGTCATTACAAGAGAAGGGCAAAAATAACACTGGGCAAATATGGATTTTACCAGTAAAGGGCGAATTTTTGACTTGACAAAAGTTTCCTGGTATACCGTATATTGATCAACAAGCTTACCTGAGAGCATTTTAGGAAAGGCATGTTTCTTGTGGGGTAGCTTTATGTCCTGTATCAACTGTTTGGCCTCGGCCTTGGCCTGGACGTTGGTCAGCCCCTTCAGCCGTGCATAGAACCACAGATGTTCTTTCAAAGTCAAACTGAAACACACACATTATGGACAGGTACATTTTATGATTCCTCTTAAGGTGGAGAAGCAAAAAATTACATTTAAGTATTCAGCAACATTTTTTTTTAAATTAACACAAATTCTGAAAATATTGTACATTTACATTTTATGGCCGTTATGGTCTACAGTGGTGAAAGGGTTGATAAGTGTCACTTACTAAGGGAAGAGGGCGTTATACTGCGGACATAACCCCAGACTCGATCGGATGTCCTCCATGTGGGTGGTGATGTCCTTCCCATAGACGTAGGCCGTACCCTCAGTCGGTGGGAACAAGCCTGTCAGTATCGACCTACAAATGCAGACACAGTGTATAATATAAAACAGTAGGAAAAATAAAACATTCATGAATACAGAAGTAACCATTCTGTTTTGATGTACATGTACTGTCCATCTTCTATAAACTTCACACATGTAATCTACAAAATCTTTCATATCAGTTTCAGACTTACATTGTGGTGGTTTTGCCTGCACCGTTGTGACCCAGAAATGATGTAATTTGACCTTCGTAGAAGTTGATGCTAAGACCATCAACTGCCATCTTTTTTCCATAGGCTTTCCTGAGATTTCTGATTGACACTCCAAGGGGACGCCCCATTGGTTCGTCTTCCATGTTGATGCCTGCAGAAAAGAAACAACTCTACTACAACTCTTCTATCTCCAGTGAATGTAAAACACTATTCCCTCAATTTCCTACCATGGACGGTACCCCGGTATTAATGAAAAGTGTGTTTGCCTAAATGGAAGCCAGGATTTCAAATGAATAATCTATAAGTGAGATAAATGAGAGAGGACACAAATCTACCCAAACCTGTACAACAGACTCACATGATGGAGGATAAAAGTCTACCTGACCTGTTATGACAGACACATATGGTTATGAAAAGTTCTTTTTTACACAACCAATAAAAAATTCTATGTGACATTTTGATGACTAGTATGATATGTACACTGTCACCTTCATCAGACAAATGACCAGTGAATGGGCCCTAAAACGGGTACAAAAACAGTGTCAAAGTAAGGAGAAGAACAAGAAAAAGCCAATCAAGGATAAGAACAAAACCAAAGGTCAAGTGGTCATCCCGTATGCAAAGGGTATATCCGAAACCATCCAGAGGATATATCGCATTCATGGCATAGCAAGAGCCATGAAGCCCCACAAGACGTTTTGCAATATCCCAGTACACCCTAAGGATAAAACACTTATACGACGCACTGCAGAATGCATATACAAAATCGGAAGCAAAAACTGCGATGCGTCGTATATTGGAGAGACTGGAAGGATTTTTGGGGTCCGCCTTGGTGAACAACAGAAAGATACAGAAACCCAAGAAGGTAGGAAATTAACCAGATCAGAAAGGAAGCAGTCGGAGTCCCAGATAAATAAATTGGCAATCACAGACCATGCCATACAAAAAAAATTATGTGATTGACTGGGATAACTCCAAAGTTTTGGACAGAGAGAGCAATCTGTTCAAGTGGCAGATAAAGGAAGCCATCTGGATACGCTGCAGTGGGCCAGTTCTAAATCGAGACGAGGGGGCTCAAAGGCTCTCGTACATCCATTTCGGTACATATATAACAACTATTGTACATTTGTTTACAGCATAGCTGAAATCGACATCGATTTTGTGGACAACTCGTACACATTTTACACCTTTGTTTGCATACACTTCACTGGTCATTTGTCTGATGAAGGTGACAGTGTCGTTCTAGTCATCGAAACGTCACATAGAACATTTTATTGGTTCTGTCAAAAAGATTTTTCATAATCCATACTTACCAACCTGAGGAAAATGTTTAGAAATTGTTATCAAGGTGTTGAATTTAGAACATTACATACCTGTAACTGGTTCAGGCTCATATGTAGATTCTTCTTCCTCTTCCTCTCCACCTTCACCTTTGACCTTTCTGTTTCCAGTACCACACCAGTAAGACCTGAGAAAAAAGAAATAAAATGGTCGAGGGATCCCATATTGTCCTACAAAAAAAAAAAAAAATCAATCAAAAGTACCATTCAGACAAACTTTGCACGTGTATCATTTTCCTGTATATGTTGCGCAATTTAAAATTCTAAAAAATCAACTTTCTATAGTATTTCAAAGGTGTCAGTTTGTTAGTTTAATTATCAACCACATCTCTCAAACTTTTTGAAAAACATTTTAATACACATGTTTATAAAATTGCAGTTTCGTAATATCCACATCATCTGAGGTTTCAGCTCCTTGATGCTCTACTCGCTGGGCTATCTTAAATATTATTTGACATATCACTGTGTGTACCTGGGAAAACGGCCTCTATGTACCAAGTGATAAGTCCGTACAAGATGGCGTCCAACCACAACATGAGGATGCAGTAAAGCATGCTGAACTCATCGTCCACCAGAGGGGTCTTGGCAATGTTACTCCATTGTACTCCAATGTTCTGTTCTTCAAACCGTGCAATGTAGGTACAGCCAAACCCAAACGCCACATTTGACGAGAAACACTGAAAACAGACAATGAATAGAGTGATTTACAGACCAAAATGAAGGGAAATTCTCTGAGAAAGAGTACATACAGGGACACATACACTATCTGTTTACAAGGATACAGCAGCTGATCATACATCTTTATTACAATACTTACCACACTCATCTTATTCCAACCGCTGAGGACATCCTCCCAGCGTTTAGCAAAGCTGTATGGCTGGTACATGATGAAGTAGATGAAGCCTGCTGAGCAGGCGGCCAGGTTGGCCTGGGAGAAACACACGCTGATCATGAACACCATGCTGATGGTAGCCACACCGAAGGAGGTGAAGAACAGCAGCAGAATCACAGGGTCAGATTGTTGTATGATCTTCCCATACTGAAACAGACAAATAATGTATGATCTTTCCTTACTGAAACACACAAATATTGTGTGATCATCTCATACTGGAACAGACGAGAAATGTATCATCTTCCCATACTGAAACAGACAATTTTTGTATGATCTTTCTATACTGACACATACAATTTTTGTATGATCCTACCATACAAAAACATTAAATTTTCGTATGACCTTCCCATACAGAAACAAATACTGTATAATTTTCCTGTAATTAAAATGACTTTTTTCTTTCCTTTCATCTTTTCATACTTAACCCTTTCATCACTGTAGACCATCATGGACTCATCCAGGTAAAAGTCTACTGAAGATACATAGGGTTGAAAGGGTTAAATAAATAATCACACTACCTGACAATACTTTCTTACCTTACAAATGATAACCAGCAAGCTGACGGTGATGAACATTGTGACGAAGGCGTTGATGAACCAGGCCATCCAGTGGACACCGTTCCCTAGTCCCATAATCTTCATCATCTCCTTCAGTCGTTTCTCCTTTTCGTACACGATGTTCTTACACAGCAGGGCTACGGGGAAGATCCAGGCCAGGACGAGGAACAGCGGCAACGTCTTGGAGACCACTTCCATAAACCTAAAAAAGACAGTTCATCAAAACAGTGCTTTGTCAGAGTAATACGAATCGCTTCAATAAAACAGAGGCTATTTTCTGAAGACACTTAATAGATATCATCAAACTAGCTTCAGTTATTCCCATTACAAAGTGTTTATCTTTCCTGAAAGGTCAGTTAATGAAATATCAAAGGTATAATTTAATGCATGATATTGATAACCATTCTTCAACTAAAAAAAGTGAAAAATTTCGCAGTGTGGAAATTCTCTCAATTTTTCACGTTGAATTTAAATTAACTCAAAAATATGTACATGGGAATATATCTTTAAAGATTATAGATATATAGAATATATATCGATTTTAGAACCATTGTCAAATTTAAAAATTTCCACACGGCAATCAGTTTAAAGAGTCACAATGTAAACATTTCCACATATAAGATTTTCCACTTTTATAGTATCAAGATTATAAAACATCTACACACTCAATTTTTCTTGGGGTTAGTTTGACATAAGTACTTTGATAGTCTCCAATGACTGATCCACCCTGACTGACCAACCCTGACTGATCCACCCTGACTGACCAACCCTGACTGATCCACCCTGACTGACCCACCCTGACTGATCCACCCTGACTGACCCACCCTGACTGATCCACCCTGACTGACCCACCCTGACTGATCCACCCTGACTGACCAACCCTGACTGATCCACCCTGACTGACCAACCCTGACTGATCCACCCTGACTGACCCACCCTGACTGATCCACCCTGACTGACCCACCCTGACTGATCCACCCTGACTGACCCACCCTGACTGATCCACCCTGACTGACCAACCCTGACTGATCCACCCTGACTGATCCACCCTGACTGACCAACCCTGACTGATCCACCCTGACTGATCCACCCTGACTGACCAACCCTGACTGATCCACCCTGACTGATCCACCCTGACTGACCAACCCTGACTGATCCACCCTGACTGACCCACCCTGACTGACCAACCCTGACTGACCAACCCTGACTGACCAACCCTGACTGACCAACACTGACTGATCCACCCTGACTGACCAACCCTGACTGATCCACCCTGACTGATCCACCCTGACTGACCAACCCTGACTGATCCACCCTGACTGACCAACCCTGACTGACCCATCCTAACAGAACATCGTTGTGTATGAATTTAGGGCTAACTTACGAGTCCTCTACATAGCAAGGATAGGGGAACTGCTGGAGAATGACGCCTGTATCATCCTCACGTCCTGTTTGGTACTTGATAATAGCATGATCCACCATGTCCTGTAGGTAGGCGAAACCGTACGTCAGATATTTAGTCTCCATTCCCGCACGTCTCCGGGGGCCAGGGCGCCAATACCTAAAACAATTACACAGAGGTCATTACAATAGGTAAAGACAGTGACATTATGGGAACTTACAACAACATTTTACTTCATTTTACCAGAGATTGTGACATTGCTTTCAACCTTCCATCATTAGGAAGGAAACCTCCCTCCTTTTGCCCAAAATATACCAATCTCCCTCGAAACTCCCTCATTCAAGTCAAAACGCACACAAACTTAAACCTACATCCTGTGGTCTCCAAATTACTGCAGGATATGTGTAATGATCTTAACAGGTGTGTCTTAATCAAATGAATGCTTTTTGGAGTTATTTTGACATAAAGAAGGGAAAAATAAATTGGACAAAGCAGTTTCACTCGTATTTCAGCACTTTCTCCCTCATTGGAAACAAGGAGATCTCGCTCATTGGAAACGAGGAGATCTCCCTCATTGGAAACAGGGAATGAGGGAAATCTCCCTCATTGGAGGTTTCAGAGGTTGACACCTATGTTATGAAAATATTACACCATCTCTGAAACAATTTATCTCTTTAGCCTTCAGTAGGCTGACGATAGATCTTGAAAAAAAATCCTTACTTGTCAGTAACGCGTTTAGTGTCGTCCACTTTGGTGGTGTCCATCCTGATTTTGTATGAGAGATGGGTAGGGAGCGGATCTGCTCCAGGCTTCACGTCAAACACCAGGGCTACAATCAAAATGACTGTGTTATCAGTACATATGTCAGTAACAGTATGTGAGCCTTTTTCTCCTTTTTTCTCTCAACATTATTTTTTACCAATTCATTGATTTTTAAGTCCTTGATGTTAAAGAAAGAACAAAATCTTGAAAAACTTTTCCCCCTGAATTCAGATTATTCTATACCAAATTTAGAAATCAAAAATTCAAAGGGTATGACACATTTCATAACCATTTACAACAGAACAATTCCAGCTAATGTCCAGTTTATCCATCGGATTAAATCAAAGATAAATCAACATACTATTTTTTTCTTTTTACTATCATCACAAAATTGTTAAGACAAGAACATTCTGTTAATGACAGGCAATTTAAAACTGAAATCATATACAGAACATAAATTAAATCACTGCCAAAATATCATGTGTGTCCAACTACTACTAACCTCCCCAAAAGTTGTCAGCCTCAATCATGTCGAGGCTGTTCTCAATGAGCTCGTCCTCCGAGGAGTAACCAACAAACTTGTCAAACTGGAAACACTGTGGAAAACAGGAATAAGTCTGAATATATACTATATAGCTAATACTTTAAACATGACATAATGAAATCTCCAATGCTGCTAGTTTACATCAGAATTGTGAGATTATAGTGCCAGCTAGGTCATTGTTATAACACTGGGTACAATATTATATGGGATTACTTCCTGGAAATGATATTTTCAATGAACTTAACACAAAAAATAATATCTCAGTCAGTCAAATATCACATTATAGCTACAATGATCATGGAAACCTCAATTCAAAATTAAGCAAGTCTGCAAGCATACTTTTCAACATAAACAGGAAAATAACACTTCACAAATTCGTATTCAAATAGAACATAAGTTTTCTAATTTTTGCCACCAGAGGCTGCTCTGATCAGTTGATAACATATTGCTCCAACTAGTGCTGTAGCTAGTCTTTGGCAATTCTAGGTCAGCATCCGTAATAAAGAATGCAAAAACAAAATTTCATAATCGCATCAGGGAAGCATTCAAAATTAAAGAAATATTTGTTTGAAAGTTCCTTGAACAGTTTTGAATTTTGATGGATTTGGCCCAAACCATATAACGATACATAGTTCCTTAGAACTATTTTATGACCAGATTAATTAACAAATCACTCAATTTTAATTACTGCATATCTCATCATCAGCATCAACCATGATCAATATGACGGTTACCTTGCCATACTCAGCCACTACTCGGGCAAATATCTTGGTGTAATGGAGAGTCTTCTCCCAGTCAAAGTTGCCGTCGGCCTTTGGGTCCTTACTGAGGTAGGTCTGTAGGAACCGACACACATTCTTGGATTTTGTTTTTGACTTGATCAGGTTCATTGTCTTGCTCTCCAAGATATCGCACAAACACGACGATGCAAACGCCTAAAATAAATAAACAAACATTAGATAAGTGGGCAGAGGTAAATCATTCTGGCTACTTCAGATCATATATAATTGAAAAAAAAACAACCAGATTGATGTTTTTGTAAGTTGCCTAGATGATAATTTTAACAAACATTTTTCATGGAGTTTCTTCTACATTTTCATCTGAAGACTGCGGACAGATATGCAGACCTCCAAACTTTTAGAAATTAAAATCAGTAAGGCTAAGTTACTGACTGAAAAAAGCTATTATATGGTCATTATGATACGTAAGCTATTCAACGGATCATTTTCTAATTCAAGACTACAATTAGAGAAGTAGCCATTTTGTTAAAAGTCTGAATGCTTGGTTCCAACCTAACACTTTAAAAGTCAAAAGGATTGAAAAGGACCGAAAGAAAAACTACATAGATTGTATAACATGGTAATTATTTCTCCCAAATTGAACATTTAAGTGATTATTACCCGGATCATATCCATGGTGGGACTAGTCTTGAGATACTTCTCAAGGTACTCGGCATAATCCTCCCAGTCTTCAGCCAGTTTCACCATCCTTGCCAGGTCACTAAATGTCCGGTTGGCCTAGAATGTAAACAAAAAATAAATATTTTCCACTTATTGATACAACCAGAACATTTGCAGCCACCTTTCAAGTGCTTTTAATGGAAAAATTCACCCCATTATTTAGTTTCCCTTCGACCAGTGAGTTAAGAAGAAATATTGAATATCAGCAGTGTATAACATTGTTGCAGAAAGCAAACTTAAAGCACTATATAGCATTTCAATGCAGCATAGGTTAAATCCTTCCGATTAAGTTAGATATATATATCTCAAAGATTTTAAATTTTTGATAAGTGGATGAGAACAAGAGTCAGCACTACTAATGGTAAAAAAGTGGAATTTCTTGCATGTGGAATAATTTGCATTGTGACTCTTTAAACTGATCATGATGCAGAAATCTATATACATGTATTGTATATCTACCACCTGTATAATCCATAATTGAATATGTGCATGTGGATAATTTTGTGCTTATTTACTCAAACTAACAAAATAAGCATTTCCAACCATGAAAAAAATTGACTTTTACATTAACAAAGATAAGATAACGCCGTTTACTTCCTATAGACAAGGACTAAACCAAGTAGATAAATATTTTGTGCGACATAAACGCATATCTGACAGATCTAACTACAATGCTTGAATCAGAACAGGTGTAAAACCTTACCCCCTTGATAATTTCCCTGACAGCTGCAGTGTCCGGTGCGTAGGGAATCTTTCCCAGGACAACTGGGCGCAGATGTTTCCATAAGATTTGTGTGTTTATATTGGCATTCATCAACTCCACCAACTCCATACAAACCGGCGCTGTCAAAATATTATACGGCTAACAAGATGCAATTCACAATCTATATCCAATTTTTATTCCTATAGGTTCAATTTTATGGTTTCAAGGAAGATTTAACATTTGATATTTTATGTACCTGGTATCAAGCGATATACCAAGATGTTATTTAAGATTGCTTTTGCGTATTGCAACTGAAAAGGTTCTGGTGGTTAAGAAATATTCCGAGATAAATGAACACACTTGGACCAGAACAATGCCAAACTTACAGTCAGAGCTAAAAATCCACAGTTTCAGAGTTTTGTGACAAGTAAATAACAATATATAAACAATAGCATGTCCCTTCTTTTAGGCATGGACTAAATCTTATATCAATTCCTAAAATATGCATGTGAAGCACCTCTGGTTTTTGCAGAAATAATGTAAACTGCATTTCAGTAAGGCCTCTAAGTAATGATATAATCTGTATACCCGGTCTAACAAAATTCACTTACAGTTCGGTCCATAATCATTCCCCCCCTTGTCCTTGTCATCCTTGATGTCTGGCCGTTTGAAGGAATTAAATCGATCTAGAATATCCTTTGACTTAGTTGATGTCATTTGCATGAAGGAGTTTCTCCCACAGACAAACTTTCCCATTTGTTCCATTATCACTTCTGGGCTAGGCTTTCCGGTCTTTGAAAAAAATGCTATGAGGTCTTGAATTGGCTTCTCGAAAGTGGCTGCATCTGTAGAGTCCAGATCCTTTACCTGAAATAGCATGAAGTAAAACATATACACTTCTGTAGCAGCCATTCACCCCTGAAGACGCATTTGAACTCCTGCAATTCAAAGGTTGGAATAGTTTATCATGAAATGTCAGGGGTGAATGAGTTAATGACAAGCTAGCTTTTCTAGTAATGCGGTATTATCCTGGAACTCTCCCAGTGGTTAAGCAATGGCAAGCATGGCCAGTGGCTGAATGGGTGTCTGTCTTCAAGTTACATTTAGTTGAAGCGTCTTGTCCCTGGGGTACCTTGTAAGGCCATTTCCTGATGGCTAGGGACCAGAAGGTGCATTATAGTACACAGTCTCAAAAGTTTAACTGCAGTGAAAATGTCCTGGCATACAGTACTTTACAACAGTCAATAGTGAATCAAACATTACATGGAAATTCCGTAAAGATAGGCAACAATAATTTCCAACCAAATTGATATCAGGTATACATTTACTGCTTTTGTGACTGCTTCTGATTTTATCATTGCTATACTTAGGCCGCATTCGTTTATCGCCATCCAAACGTTTATGAAATGAGGTCGGACCTAGTAATCTGATGCTGCTTTCAGGAGAGCCTTGACAAAGCCTTGCAAGGCCTGCATAAACATTTGCAGGTCTCCCAGGATTTATATCCGAAAATGTTACATTTAAAAACAGACAAACTGGTTGAACCAGATATGTGAAAGGGGCCCTATTATGTAGATATACATATATAGTGGTAACATTCTAAAAAAATACTTACATCTTTGAATAAGCCTTTCAACTTTCCGTAGATTTTAGTAACGTTTGGTATTTTTCCAGTATTGAGAAAAACAAACCTCAAAACCTGAAATTTAGAATATAAAATCAAACTTCAAAAAGCAGAAAATTATTTCCAAAGAAAACCTATGAATGAATTTCCATTTGAAGATTATGTAATTAGAGATAGTTTTGTAAAGATGATTGAAGTAGATTTTTCTATTAGTCTATAAGTGTCAGGAGCAGTGAAACATTTATTATACAAACGTTGCATTAACTTATTTACCCCTGAAGTTTCATAATGAACTATTCCAACCTTAGAATTGGAAGAGTTCAAAAGTGTCTTCAGGGGTTAATGAGGGGAATGAGTTAATAGACAAAAGCTTGTCTAATTGAAGACATTCTCAATGGCAAGAAGCTTAGACTGTGTACAGTATCAATATTCTTTTCACATTTTCATATTTATATTGAAAGATATTAATTTAATTTCTAAGTTTGTGGCTCCCGAATTGAAAGGTCTGCAGTATATTTCATAAGAAATATTCTCAGTACTTATATAAAGTCAACAGTACTACATGAAAAAAAATTGAGATTTATGAAAATTATGCAATGCACTTACTTGAAATATGAAATGTTGGATGCTGTATTTGTTTTTGAAGAGGTCATACAAACTGACAAGTTGTGCTTCAGGTATGCGACAAAGTTCGGCCTGAACTGTACGTCGGGCAGCAACGTCCTTGAACCTGAATGACTCTAGCATGGAATCTGAGGAACACACAAAGTCACGAACCTGCGCTGCAGATTTCTTTGGTCCAACAGACTTACCAACCCTGGGACAAACTTCGAAGTCACGCAAAACATCGCTAAGGTGTGGACGATTGAACTGAAAATTAACATGTGTTACAATATATTGACAAAAAAAATAATATTACACAATTAACTGGATAAGGTAAATGGATCATCAAAGAGTGAAATTATTGAACCTCTGACACCTTTTGATTAACAAAATGAACAATTTAACCTTAATTATTGGTAGTACCGGTTGGTGAGCTGTACTGTAACCTCTAGCAGAGAATTGCCAAACAAGTAGTGTTGATGTTTTATCAGTGCCTGCTTACACCCCAGTAAACTTACCTACACCCTCTATGCCAACTACATGTCACCATAAGGGAGATATCCATACAAAAATAATGTTAATATGGATAATTCTGCTGGGTGTTCATTTTTTACGACTTCAATCACAATTCATGTTCGTTTAATTTTCTTGCTATCTGAGGCCTATACATACACATTTTCAGTACTGTAAAGTTATTGCGGTGTGGAAATGCTGATGAGCGATTTAGTGTGAAAAAATACCAATGAGTGATTAGATTTCAGAATCATTGCCACCATGAACATTTTCACACAGTGATCAGTTTGAAGACTGACAATGTGAACATTTTTAAATTTTAAATTAGTACATAAACAACATGTAAATTCTCCCCTCACATTTATTTCCACATTTACCTCAGTAACAGGTAATTTTTTCCTATACTTTGTATCAATGTTCCTGTTACACGGTAATCCGTGATTTTTACTCACCTGACCGAAATCTATTGATGCATTAAGAAGGTGCACTAAAGCCCCCTCTGACAAAGTGATGCTATTGTTCACGATTTCCTGAACAAGCTCTCGAGGATTCTTAAAAAGGCTCAGCACTTTAACATGGCCTGAAATAAACACACAAAACATTCATTATCTCAACAGTGCTTGTTTTATAGGTAAGGTTGTATTTAAACTTTTTTTAGACTTTTAATAAATTAATGACAATCTGCATGTTCTCTTAACAACTATGTTCCAAATAAACAAAGATAAAACTCTAGTTCATTGAAAAATAATGCTTCTGATTTGTCAGACCCCATGGTAGTTTACCTTTTGTGGAGCCGTTGAGGATTTTAGCAGACAGGGAGCTGATAATATCCCAGGTTCCTATCAGATCAAGGATCAGTTTCCGGTCCATGTTATTGTTGAGGACATCTGTGATATCTTCAACCAACTTTGTCATCCTGTCAGTAAAACATAATGAAAGCAAAATTAGTTATCAATTCCAGTATTGCTCAACCTCGATACTCCAGGGTTATATTCATTTAAACTCTGTGCACCCCTTGAATATGTCATAGAAAAATTGAGGGCACATGGCTAGCTATCTAATTGGTCTCAGATAGCCTGACCAATCGCTAAACTGATACCCGTCTTTTGAAGATTACAGAGGAGTGACATTCTACTTCAAAGCAAGTTGTTTTACCGTTGTGCTACCGTTGGATTCATTTGATGAAAATCAAAAGATCAAACTTAAGTCTTCTTGTCTCATCCACAAGGTGGTGCACACTGAGCACTCAATTTTGCTATTATGATATATTACAGGGGTGAAGAGAACGTAAGTGAGCATAACCCATAAGCATCAAGGATGAGTATAGCCATATACTTCTGTTGCAGTTTCATGTTTACAAACTATTTTGTTGGTATTTCACAGTCTATACATATAAGTTACATTTCAATTTTAGATTATTAGAATATTTATTGAATCAAACCTGCTCATTAGACCACCTCTATCAACAAATGATTTATATGCTATGAGACCACTTTTAATGTTCCTCGTTGTAGTGATTTTGTTGTGAACTGAACCTGTATCAAGATCCCACCTGTGTTAAGAGACCACTTTTAATGTTCCTTGTTATAGTGATTTTATTGTGAACTGAACCTGTATTAAGAGACCACCTGTGTTAAGAGACCACTTTTAATGTTTCTCGTTATAGTGATTTTATTGTGAACTGTACCTGTATTAAGAGAAAACCTGGTTAAGAGACCACTTTTGACTTTTAATGTTCCTCGAAGTGATTTTATTGTGAACTGAACCTGTATCAAGATCCCACCTGTGTTAATTAAGAGACCACTTTTAATGTTCCTCGTTGTAGTGATTTTATTGTGAACTGGACCTGTATTATGAGACCACCTGTGTTAAGAGACCACTTTTAATGTTCCTCGTTATAGTGATTCTATTGTGAACTGAACCTGTATTAAGAGAACACCTGTGTTATGAGACCACTTTAAAAATTCCCAATTGAAATGATTTAATTGTGAACTGAACCTGTCTTAAGAGAACACTTGTGTTAAGAGACCACTTTTAATGTTCCTCGTTATAGTGATTCTATTGTGAACTGAACCTGTATTAAGAGAACACCTGTGTTAAGCGACCACTTTTAATGTTCCTCGTTGTAGTGATTTTATTGTGAACTGAACCTGTCTTAAGAGAACACTTGTGTTAAGAGACCACTTTTAATGTTCCTTGTTATAGTGATTTTGTTGTGAACTGAACCTGTATCAAGATCCCACCTGTGTTAATTAAGAGACCACTTTTAATGTTCCTCGTTGTAATGATTTTGTTGTGAACTGAACCTGTATTAAGAGAACACCTGTGTTAAGAGACCACTTTTAATGTTCCTCGTTGTAGTGATTTTATTGTGAACTGAACCTGTATCAAGATCCCACCTGTGTTATGAGACCACTTTTTGGACTTTTCAAGTGTGGTCTCTTACAGTAATACAGGTTTAACTGTACATTCACAGTTCCAGTGCAATCTCAAAAACCATGATAGTAAACACACTGGGAAAGTTTGGTGTTACATATTAAGTATTATATATAGATTGGTCCAGAATTATCTTGAATTCTTTAGAAAAGGTAATTTTATTAAAATAAACATATCAAAGGATGCAACATAAAACAAAACACTATACAATGTACTTACAAAGAATCTTTGTAGTCATCTGTGTTTCCCGCCATTTCATTTGGAGTGACATTCTCGTAGCACGTGTTGTTGAAGGTACAGAAGAACGACTGTAGGAAAGGCACAATACCCACACTCGGCATGGACTTGCCATCAAAGTGACCTTGTATGGTAGAGAGAACATCCAAGGTCATGAGATGTTTCAACATGATTGCTATATTATACATGTACATGCCATATTTTGTGCTGATAATTCATGTTTTGTAAATAAGTAGAATTTCATTCAAAATTTAAGGAGAGAATGATTGTTCCATTTTTTTTTTTAAATGCAATATAAAATATCTTTTACGTAAGGTATACTCTTAAAATTTCAAAACAAATATGATAATAACATTGATTATATCAGACTTTGGTTAATGTTTTCTATACTCAAACTTTTACATACATTCTGGGTGGTTCCACTTGAGATCCGGGCGAGTACGTACTCCCACAAGTACAAAGAGTAGGATAAGGGGGGCCAACACCTCCGCAATCACACGGTACTGTTGGACAGACATAAGATAATTATACAATGTAGGATGAGGGGGTTGGGGTCGGGGGGAGGGGAGGCCAACATCTCCACTACCGTAAATATAATACAAGTCACTTTGGGAAAAGGTCCTTGGTTAGTGTTTTCTTTTACTTTCTCAAAAGAAATTGTAAAGGTATTCATATTTTCATATTCAATCATATCAAAGAATATTTGTACAAAACATGAAGGTTGATCTTGAATTAAGAGATCAAAACCCTAGCTCTAAATTTACATTGGACAGCCAGATCTGTGAATGTGGCAATATGAAATCCTGACATTTTAACAGCTTAATTACTATTCGGTCATACAATTTTACCCCCAAAAAAATATTGTGGCCTTAAATAGGAATCACAGGGGGATATATCCTACAGTGGACCCCCATATAGATGATGTCCCAGAACAAGGATTAAAGCATCTTACGAAACAATTGGACCCAGCTGATGATGTCAAAGAATTCACTGTCAAAACGCCCACTTGTCCCATCTCTCAATCCATTTACCCTAAATAGAAATTCACAATCGCATATACACAAACAACTAACTTACCTTTTGACGCCATCTCAAAGTGAAGTTTTTCCACAAAAGTAAAGACAGCTGATTTCCAAACCCCATCTTGTTAGACCTCTACAGGGCCAAATATTGATACAATATCCTGAAAGGAAGAAATTGAAACAACAGATATTTCAAATATTTGGTAAATGAAAAAAAGTTTCAGGCTATGAAAACAAAACACATATACATATAGCTTCATATGTAAGAAGTATAATTTTAAACACATACCGGTAATAAATGTCTCTTGTTGTTCCTGCTTAGTTTTCAATTAAATCCCACCATTGTCCTGCATGATCAAGTGTTAAAAGATGACTCCAAATAATTATTCAGATCCATACTTCAAACGTTCATGTTTATTCGAAGAATTTCACTACGATTCACAAAATATGTTAACACAGCCTTGCACAATATCCGATCTTCACATCAACCATAAAAATTTCATCCCTACTTTTTACACCAACTTCACTTCCATGATTTAAATTATTTAACTCCTCAGAGAAATGCAGCACTGAATTCACCAATATCTCCTGTTTACAGCTTTAGTCCAAAGGAAGATGATTAAAACATTGCAGTGAGGTAGGTTATGTTGAGGGATGAGTGATAGTGACGATGTAAGGTATGAGCAAGTGATCTACCTGTAGTGGGCCAGGTACCCAATGACATGCAGTCTAACCACTTCCTGGTCCTAACATCACAGGTAGCACCTCAGGCCAGGTATGGTGAAGTGTGCACTGTCTCATCAAGACCTACCCCTGCAGTCAACGCCTTACATCATCTTCACAGGAAAAATTCTGCACCAGTTTTGTCTTTTCTTCTTACAGCATGGACATTAAAGAAATTGAAAAACTAAGGACAATGAGTATCTATCCTATCCATTCTTTCTGTTATCATGAAAACAGCATAACAAATTGTGTTTCACTATACCACAAGAATGGTAAAAAGCATACCGTAGCTGGTCTATAATTGTTGTGTAGATAGCATTGAAAACATGTCATAGACTTTAAATGTCTTAGATGTTTATTCAAGATATATGATTCTAATACCTCTATTTTTTACTTTCTTACAGTCTTATAATATAAAAGATCATTTTTTTCAAGAATGAGGCATTTATGTAGTATTCATCATCTAATAGAATAGGATGTGCTGAAATAGATTATGACATTGAAACACACCATAATAAAGCTCAATTTGGCTCGAGATTATACATATAACTCTACTACACTTTGACTATATCTCTAAATCATTTGACTTTAACAAAGTTAACTGTAAATCACCCCCACGATCATGTGATATCTTTGAATTTCATGTTAAATTTTTTGACAATATAAGAAAGATTTTTTTCTTTACATGTACCAAAACATGTGACAAACTGCTAATTAAAACAAGTTGTTGATGGCTTTAAATCTGCAATGTCTTCCTCTACCAAAAGTCAACAGTGCTAGGAGGCTTAAATCAGTACTAATTTCTGTGATCATCATCTAACACTGAGGTCAAGTGTCAACAGCCCTATGGGTGTGACACAGTCAGTCGTGTGTGTTACCCTGCTACCCCTATCTATCCCCAAATCTTTGGATTATTTACAAACCTGGCCCAGGGCCCTCTCAAACCACTGACAATATAGATATATAGGTGTCAGATCCCTTATCCTGTCAATCAGCATATTCATAATTGTGATCCTATAAGGATATCAGTTGGTAAAAAGATTTCTTTAAATATTTCTGAAAATGAAATAAAATAAATTAATTCATTGATGATAATTAGAATTTTAAAATTACAATGATCCAGTAGAATATAGTGATACTGTAGTCTATATTTTCATTATTTCTTAATAATCATAATTATCAAAACTGAACAATTAGTATGGATGTCCAGGAATGCAAAATGAACCCCTTCAGAAACCGGTAACAGACAAATACTTATATTTTCTTCTCACTTAAAAAAAGAAGTTTCTTTTAACAATTAATGAACTACATCCTGGTTTCCAGATTACACAGGTTAAGTTAACAGACAAATGCATAATGGAACCTAGTCAAAAATTTGGTTTACACAGGGTTCATATTAAATCGGTTGTATTATGAATGTATACAAATGTACAGGGTTCATATTAGACCGGTCATACTGTAATTTATGTATACAAGTGTACAGGGTTCATATTAGACCGGTCATACTGTAATTTATGTATACAAGTGTACAGGGTTCATATTAGACCGGTCATACTGTAATTTATGTATACAAGTGTACAGGGTTCATATTAGACCGGTCATACTGTAATTTATGTATACAAGTGTACAGGGTTCATATTAGACCGGTCATACTGTAATTTATGTATACAAGTGTACAGGGTTCATATTAGACCGGTCATACTGTAATTTATGTATACAAATGTACAGGGTTCATATTAGACCGGTCATACTGTAATTTATGTATACAAATGTACAGGGTTCATATTAGACCGGTCATACTGTAATTTATGTATACAAATGTACAGGGTTCATATTAGACCGGTCATACTGTAATTTATGTATACAAATGTACAGGGTTCATATTAGACCGGTCATACTGTAATTTATGTATACAAATGTACAGGGTTCATATTAGACCGGTCATACTGTAATTTATGTATACAAATGTACAGGGTTCATATTAGACCGGTCATACTGTAATTTATGTATACAAATGTACAGGGTTCATATTAGACCGGTCATACTGTAATTTATGTATACAAATGTACAGGGTTCATATTAGACCGGTCATACTGTAATTTATGTATACAAATGTACAGGGTTCATATTAGACCGGTCATACTGTAATTTATGTATACAAATGTACAGGGTTCATATTAGACCGGTCATACTGTAATTTATGTATACAAATGTACAGGGTTCATATTAGACAGGTCAAACTGTAATTTATGTATACAAATGTACAGGGTTCATATTAGACCGGTCATACTGTAATTTATGTATACAAATGTACAGGGTTCATATTAGACAGGTCAAACTGTAATTTATGTTTACAAATCTATAGGTTTTATATTTGACAGGTCAAGCTGTTATTCATGTATTCAAATCTATAGGGTTATATTAGATAGGTCAAGCTGTTTATTTATGTATACAAATATTCAGGGTTCATATTAGACAGGTCAAACTGTAATTTATGTATACAAATGTACAGGGTTCATATTAGACAGGTCAAACTGTAATTTATGTTTACAAATCTATAGGTTTTATATCGATCAACTTCTTCTGGTCAAGAAATAGGAGTTTTGTATATAACACTTGCTTATAGTACAACTCGTACACCCGTTGTGGTAATCATAGAAATATTTCCTACCCTCTGGGCATCAGGTATATCTACATAAATATGTACACATCTTATATACATAATACATCACTTTCATGGACTGACCTGACTGATGTCATCAAACTGTAGCAGATGTCTTTTTCATAAAACGTTTCCTGCCTGCCTTCAAATTATTTAGCCATAAAAAAATAGAATATTGTTTAAACTAAAAGTGTACCAAAAGCAAGTTTCCCCTAAATGGATTTGGTTCACAGTGAAACAACTGCTGTGACACACTTTATACAAAAACGAGGTCAACATGGTATACATTCCTCGTACAACAGTTTTGTTAGTGGACTTCAAGCAAGATGTAGGTTCTGTTGTTCTTCAGATGTGCTGACTTGGAGCCATTGGTTCCTTAGTTATCATATATAACGAAGCTTGTGACAATAATTTTAATATCGTAATTGATAAAGTTATCACAATTTTTCTTCATTTTTCTCAATGAAACCTTTATCAAGTCAGGATAGTTCCTTAATATGGCAATATTACGAAATAACTTAAAAACAACAGATGAAAATTTAATCAATTTATTCAAAATAAATAGTCTTGTTTAAATAAGTCTTGTTTAAATAAAACCTGTATCCTAAACTTAAAAAACACACATGAAAATTTAAACAATTTATTCAAAATAAATAGTCTTGTTTAAATAAATCTGTACTTTAACATACAAAGTAAATGATTTTAATTATACATTAGATAATGTATATATGTGCTGAATTCAACATATTTAACAAGTATTTTCTCTGTTAAACTATCATGAGTAACACAATCCAGAAAAGCAACAAGGGAGATAATCTGACGAAAAAATCTTCTATTCTACACAGTACACCATGACCTAAATAGAGAACTCAGAAACACTGTAACAAAATGTAGTGATATGAATATATCATAAATACATGACCTTGTAGACAAACACTACCAGTAAATTCAAAACAAATGGTGCAGTATGCCATCTCCAATAAAAAAAAAATAACACATAAAATACAAAATACATCAACTAGTATTATCCTTGAGCAAAATAAAAATATTAAATGACAGTAAAAATAAACTCATACTAATCTCATTGGATCAAATTAGCACCTGTCTTTTATTTTTTAATTCTTCCAATTCATTTTCTAACTAATGAGAATAATAGAATCTCTCACCCCCTTGGGGGCAAGATAAGGGAATCTCAACTTGAGAGGGAAGATTCTTAAGTTGCCAAACATGAAGCTTTGCCGAGTTTTGGCAACTTCAGAATCCCCCCCTCCCCGAGGGTTGAGATTCCCCTATTTCACACACAAGGGGGTGAATGATTCTTTTTCTCTTACCCTGTTTTCCCATGTGTATCATATACACAATGTAATGCTAACGTTACAGGCTAAATTCAGGGTTGACGTGACGTTGATAGATTGTTGGCGCCACGTCATTGTATTGTTGAAGTGACGTCATACCATTGTAATGAATAGGGGAATCCCCCCCATCTCAACCCTAGGGCGAGACAAGGATATCTCACACCGGTAAAAGTGTGGATATTTCCTTGTATGGCAATTTAAATTGTGTACTTTATTAAATGAAATAAGTATCAACAGTTGGTAGGGTATTTATGACTGTCTAAGATTTTTAAATTGATCCAAAGAACAAACACAAACTTTGCAAAGGACGATTTTGTCACATTCTTTTCAGATATTTGTTGTAAAGATACCACTGTTGATACGTGTTTGTTGAATACAATGAAAGAGAACAGGCCATTCAGGAGAAGTTGTTAAAATAAATTAGATATACGGCAAACGCTGCTCCTTCTTATGACATAGGTACCTAATGGTAGATAAAATCACATTGCGTCGTTACCATATATGGTGATCCTAGGTAGCAAAGTTAAGTGTCTGCACTCTACTTAGATAAAAGTAATGTAAGACTTGTATGGCAAGATCAGTTTAAATAATCAAAAAGTACATTCAGCTGCTTGAAATATATATGTCCTTGTGGTTAAATATGTGAATAAAAGAAGTAAACAACCAAATATAAAATCATAGAAAATAAACATATTGAAATATTAACAAGTCAATATAATCACAAAGAGATTCTCCAATAGTCAGATATGCGTTATAAATCTAGTTATTCTTATAATGCTTGTTAAAATTTCAGAGACATCAAATAAAAGTTTAATGAGCATATTAGCCAGGTATGGGACTATTTGCCAGGTATGGGACTATTTGCCAGGTAATTAGGTATTGGGTGGTACCTTTGGCGTTTATCAACAACTACACTTTAAAAATTCCTGCTTACCAGTATTTGGACCATCAACAACTTGACCATCAACAACTTTAAAACTTGTGCTTTAATGTAATTCAATTTAACTGAATTGTTTGATTTTCTTATGGATGGAAGAGTGCCCAGTGGTCAAACCCTCCCACGGTATTTAGCCTGACCAGAGACCTCATCATATATCAACTGCAGTCCAAAGGGTCTCCCTCCTCTCTTTGAGATCAAATATAGAAATTTATCAGCATCAATTTTTGGTGAGGTATTTGTCCCTATATGTATCTTCAGAGAGGTTGGGATTAATAGAATCTTTCACCCCCTCGGAGATGAGATAGGAGTTGCCAAAAATGAGTCTTGCCGAGTCATAGGTAGCTAAAGATTTTTTTTCTCTTACCCTGTTGACCCTGTCATGTTCATAATGCAATGTTGACGTGATGTTAATGCATTGCGATGTATTATTGACACAACGACATGAAATTGTTTTTACAGGGAAATCCCCCATCTCAACCCTGAGGGTGAGACAAGGATATCTCAAACCAGGATAAGAGTTGATTGGCCTGTCCAGGGTAAGAGAAAAGTATTGTCTAAGACACTGGGGCCCGTATTCATGAAATCATTCTCATGCTCAAGTAAGGAATTTGTGCCCAAGCAAAATTTCTTGTTTTAGTTATAACTTCATAAACAAATCTAATTTTTTCAATGACTTGGAAAAACATTGAAGAGACTTCAAGCCGAAAACTGTTTTCAATGTTAACATTTGACATTTTGATCGTTTGACAAGATTTAACCGAGTTACAAAAATCCATGCTTGAGCATGAGAGCGGTTTCATGAATACGGGCCCAAATGTCTTATATGGACAATTGGCAAACATAAGGCAATCTTGTCCTCACTCATGAATAAATGTGTGCAGTACTAAATACATGAAAACCAACTCTTTACAATGCCAAGCCCTCCCTTCCACTGTTTTATTTACGTGACAACGATAGCTAAGAAAGCAGTGTTAGCAGATAGAGAACCATGAGCTAATATCATGCATGTCCATTCTTTTAAGAAATGCAGAAAACACATAGTAGATTACAGGTTACTTACAGTACATTTGCCATCCTTATTGAGAGTTTTGCACAATTCATGTATTCGTTTCATCATATATTTTTGCATAACATTATATAAATCAATTAACTCATGGTTTTTCAGTCACTTAAACCTATTTCATGCAGTCTTAATTCATTTGATACCAGAGCCATGATTATATACCGGTAGTACTCATTAGGAAATTAAATTTTGTGAATGAATTATAACAAATAAAAATAAATCTCAAGGGGAATGCATATATAGTTTACAACTATTATCAGCAAGCACTGAGAACAGCTCTTTGATGCTAGCACCATATCTCAACTGTTATAAAATTTAAACATCTGTCATAACCTCAATGACATGAAAATGACAGAATGAATAAATCTCTCCTGGAAGAAGCCAGTATCCTGCAGAACAACTTCCCAGTTTGCTGGTACAAATTTATACAGCTGGTTAGACTGGAACACTCAAGAGTTACTTACATAAAGACGCTACCAACATTGTATCGTGACCACATAGACCTGTACGTACTACAGTGTATATTATAGTGCACACCCATAAGAATGTATATAGTCATAGTAAGTAAATAAATACCTACTTTTTCTTTTCTGAATAAATACCTACTTTTTCTTTTCTTTTTCATCATTTCTTCAAAATCGAGTTTGACACACAATATTTTCCGAAAAAGTAATTTGGGTTAAAAATTTGAACGTCACACACAAAAACACTACTGATATACGTAATACCAGTCTGGCCAAGGTCTCGCTGTAAAGATAGACCTATCACAGACAATACTACCCTGACCTGGTCTAGTCCTCACTGTAAAGATAGACCTATCACAGACAATACTACCCTGACCTAGTCTAGACCTCGCTGTAAAGATAGACCTATCACAGACAATACTACCCTGACCTGGTCTAGACCTCGCATTCAAAAAGAGAACTTTTACAATAGTGGCTAAGCTAGACGCTCAACACGTAGTAGCCCCTCGTCCAGTCACCAGGGTCATTCTTCATGCTGATGTGATATCTCCTGTAAAGACAACAAAAAGGTTGATATTTTATGAGACATTACATTACATGTGTCCCTTGTAAAATGGATTCATTTACAAGTACACAAGATTAAACTAGAACACTGACAGGTCAGTAAGGGCCCCGTCTTGTGGCAATATATCCCCCATAATCATCAAGAAGCAATCTGCCCATATAGCTGAGCTTAACGTTTGTCATTTGGACTTCAAAAAGAATCGCAAGGAAGCAAAATATACATTTTACATGTACTATGATGTGAGTCTTGTTTCCTTCCACCTCCATATTTGCTGGGCTAACAGAAATGTAAATAACGGTGCAATACTCATTTGTTAGCTTTGATTTGTTTTATTTCACCTTATATACCTCCTACATCAAGAGCCAAGGTCAAAGTCAGAGATCCACTTTGTCTTTGACCTTTGGACCCAAATGACCTTGACCATTGACCCAAATGACCTTGACCATTAACCTAGTGACCCTGAACTTTAGTCAGTTGACTTATTCTTTAATTCCGACCAACTTTGCTTCTTGATATCATAACAAAATGTTCATCAGTGAAAAAAAAATCACTTGACCTTGACCCCTGTAACCTGGACCTAAGGTCAGTTGACTCTGTGTTAATGAACAACTTTGCTTCATAATGTCATAGCGAACTATTCACCAGTGAAAAGCTACGAAATTTGACCTTGACCCCTGACCCGATGACCTTGACCTTTGGTCAGTTGACTCCTTGTTTAATTCTGATCAACTTTGCTTCATGATGTCATAACAAAATGTTCATCAGTGAAAAGATGTAAAATTGACCTTGACCTTTGACCTTGATTTTTTACCTCAATGTGTATATTTGTAAACTGAACATCTTGACTTAGTTTCATGTACATCGGTCACTAAATACTAAAGTTATCAGCCAGGAACAGAATTTGTGGACAGACAGACAGACAGACAGACAGACAGAGTGATTACTATAGGGCACCCGTATCTCCGATACGGGGCCCTAATTAATAAATATAGGTGCAGGGCTATACAATAAGGGAAGCGCAATAGTCTGAGACTAGTGAAATCTCCAGCTGGACTAGTGGCTCTAAAAACCGCTAGCCTGATTGGCTAGTCAAAATTTGATCTTTGATTGAATAATATTGGTTTTAATAGTAGTATTTGCACATGGACTAGTTAAGATCTGAAACTACTACCCCAGTAGACTGGTGGTATTTAAAATTAATTTCCAGCCCTGTAGGTGTCCCTCGTATAATGAATTAATTTACAAGTACACAACCAATTATAGCCACAGCATTACTGTCTGTTTATATACAGGTCTGTAGATATTTATCTCAGGGCTTTAAATACTCACCCTGTGTTTGTACCAGGACAAGAACGTATTCCAGATCAAAGTCAGAAAGGACACATACACCACTCGAAGCTTTACGGGGAGGTAGTAGAAGTTGATAAACTGGGCTGGAGGCCACACAAACCAGTCAATCTGTAAAGAATAGCGAGATAAAATCGAATAGGTAACCTAATATATGTACGCCTTGTGGAAAAGAGATTTTATTACCATACTGGTAATGTTTTATGGAAGATGATGACGATAAAAATATTATGACAGGAGTCGCAATGGTAGACACATTGAATTCTTCATTACCAATATTTATTCAATATGTTCTACAATGGCAGTTTCAGATGAATTTCTACAATGACAGTTCATAGTCCAGTTGACAAATTTCCTTAAGTGAGCTAGACAGTCTTAATGTGGCATGTAACTGCAATTATTGAAGATTGTTTGACCAAAAGTAGGTTTCAAATAAAGCGCACTTGAAAATCTTGTATTTATAGATGTTAGTGTTCTGTCAGACAAGACTGTTTTTAGTTCTTTATAATACCACTAGCTTATTACACATATTACACATGTTGTCTGTCAAAATGCAGTCATTTGTATATTGCTATAAAATGTATATTTATGTAGGGGTGCAGTTTATTTTCTACACGCAAGCTGTACAATTAATACAATTGCCTTCGAGCAAATACAATACTTTCAGAATTAAGAGAACAGAACAATTGAATAGTTATTTTAATGCAACATGTTTTCATTTACATGCAAGTGACCTAATTTTTTGTGATGACCTTGACCTACCACATAAACAGTAAGGAACTTGTCCTTGACCTCTTGCAGTGCCCCATCAACACCACGGCCCTCCAACATCCCCATACCTGCATGAGGAAAAACTTTTATTATAATATATATCATTTCTATGGGGAGCGCCTTGATTTTTGGGGTACTTCACTTTCTTATTTTTGAAGTCTTATTAGGATGACTTCCCATTTGATAACAAGAGCTGTTAGAGAACAACATAGCTCACCTATTGGTGATATATGTTGTAAGATAGCAAATATCAATAGAAACACATATACAGTAAAACCTTGATGTAATACCTGTCATTTCATTTTCCACCTCACTTACATATTTTGTTCCTTAATTATGTTTTTCTTAAGAATTCCTTTATATATTTCAAGTCCAATTAAGCTGTTTTTGGCCCCTTAAGTATGAAAATATGGTTCAGCACATTGCTAACACTCCATACAAATATGTCAACCTTATAATAGACAACAGTGTATTGAGTGGGATGATCCAACACTGTCTGGAAAACTTTAACCTCATCAGTGAAGTGGGACGCAAACGCTGGGGTGATTACATGAGCCCCCTATTCCCCGAATAGGCGAGCTAGAAATGAAGCCAAATTATGTGTTTCACCTTTTTTATAAGCCCTGCGAGTATTGATCCATATTTTGTTACATCTACCTATAGCTATGTAGTAATGAAATGTGATACAGGAGTGAGGTAAGTGTGGGCAGGCACCCATCCAAACCATGCTTACTGTAGCTTAATTAACCACTGAGTCCCAGCATATATAACAAATTACCAGAAAAACTAGCTTAGTAATTTAGTATTTCCCCTGATATTCTTTACAATATAAGCATGATGTACACTAATTTATATTGATCTGAAGGTTTTAACTATGAACTACATGCTGTAATTTTACTGTGTGTAATATAAAGGTCTTGTGCAGTTAGCATTCATGCATGTGTATACATGCATCTACAAATGTATTCATACCATTTAGGCATTAATAGATTTTATGTCACTGTGATCAAGGCAAGGGTACCAGGGTGTTGGTCATTGCAACATCAAAGCTTGTTTTAAGGAGATGGTAGTGTGGTATTCATAATACCTTGAAGAATTCTAAACTTACCAAAGAAGAATGAGAAACAAAAGAATGGTCCAGCGAAAGCCTGATCAGCCAGGATTCGCTTCACTGTTCCCTGTACTCCTCCAGTTTTCACAATCTTGTCAATTATCTTAGTGTACCACAGGTGGTTGAACGGGCCTACCATCACTCCAATGGTGAACATTCTCCCTGTCATAACGGTATTACCCTGGGTTAACAACTTTTAATATGTGGTTACAATTAAAGTTAACAATAAAAAAAAAAAACATTATTGTACTATTATGATATATATTGATATAATTCATTACAAGTACATTACTGTCTGTTGAAAAAGAAGATTGAAAAGTTATTTCATCTTAACTTCTAAATCTTTCTCTTGCCAGCAATTTTACTTAAGGGCAAACTTGTTAATGGACTATGATTTTATTCATTTCAATACTTTTTTTCACTTTTTTTTTTTACTTATTTTGTTCAGGGCCTCTTTGAACTTGGTTTCTGTAATAAAACGAAATTGGCACCTGGTTTGGAATTAAAGATGGGTACAGTACTTAATATATGATATGATATATAAAAAATTGTGAGTGAACACATATGAACTATTCTGATCATACCCGTCCTTCCCCAGTTGTGGTTGGTCATGGGCACCTTTTTATCCAGATCTCCACTCTCCCGCCTGGCATAGGCCTTCTCCATCGTCTGTGTAATGCAGTCCCCTAAAGCCAATAACCCGCCTGTCGCCAGAGTGTTTGTTACAAACAGATACCTGGTAAACAGCTTGTTCAAAACTGATGACATCTTCTCACTGAATACGTCTATTATGCCTTTTGCGATGAATAACTTTCCCCGTGTCCTTCAAAGTTTGGAAACCAGCATTACTGTCAGATTGTTTATTGCATCATAACATTATCTTGTAGTATATAAAACTAATCTATCAGCACTACCAAAGGATTGGCGAACAGCACCTGTTTCCATGTCCGAATCAAACTACTGAGTATAATGCATCATGCATGCATCGAAATCATCGACAGCCAGCTGACAGGGCTCCCCGTCTCACGTGTTTCCAGATTTTTTGAAATGCCAGAAACTGGTCATTTATTTGTCGCGTTAGAAAAAGAAAGTATTCTATATATATACAGGCAAGAGCAAACGGATTGATGAAATATTTTGTAACAAAAACCTGAATAATTGCATTCACATGTTGGCATATTTTTATTCTGTTCCATACAGAACGAAATTATCTTATATTGAATGTCGTAAAATATTCCTACGCGAAAGTTGCTAACTCGACCCGAAAGTTAGTCTCGTTCAATCAGACTCTTGTTGCCTTCGCTTGAATTACAAGTGATCAAGCGTCTGGTTGAACGAGACTAACTCGGGTCCGGTGTTAAGGAGAAAGAGTACCCCAATTCTTAGTTTCCACGGTCTTGTGGTTTTGAATATCTTTGTGGACACATCAACTTTATTTATAATATGAAAAAATGCTCATATGTGAAACGTATTTATTAAGAATTTTACATCATAGATGTACTAGCGGAAAAAAGAAACTGTGCATGCGGAGAATTGTTATAGAACATGTATAACCAACTTCACACACATGACAGAGTATCGTCTAGACATCAGTTTCCGCGCGTTATGTATTTCCGCGCAGCCATTTTATCACGCTATATCTCGTAACAACGTGACCTTCTGGACACAACACAAGGATATTTTAGACATGTGGCCATCGTCTGTAAACTGACACAAAAATTACCGGAAGTTCGTCCGGAAAACATAAGAATTAATCACCGATTAAAATAACACTCATAAATATGCAGTTTTGCTTAATGCACTTTTTTCTTGCTCAAAATGAACCCATACCTGAAAAATCGGTCATGAACCAGTCTTTTTTGTAGTCTGACAAACGTACGAAAATGTCGTATGCAAATGAGGTCACATCTCCTCGACGATTCTTTTCCACTTCCGAAGAAGACATTCTTATATCGATAAACAGTGTTTTCAATGAAACGTTAACCTTGTAATATAATGAACTTCCAATTTTCACCAATTTCAAACAGAACAAAATGAGAAATAACTTACTATGATGATATCAACCAAAACCGATATAAGACTGCAGAAAACAAAATATTAACAGATTCTATATTATAACTAAATAAATATAATAAATACATTTATAAAATTACATGAATTCATTCAATTTGACATCTTGAAAAATCAATTAAAAATGTGAGATTTAAAAAAAAAAGTTTTGATAATTAATTTGACGATCAAAGATTTTTTGTTTTTATTCCAAACGAAGCTTTTTTGTTCTTTTAGCGTGCGTATTCAAGTTATCTTTCTTTGAACACTAAATCAAAATAGACACACGGAAACCTATAACGGCTTCTTCCGACGGGAGAAATTTATTAGAAATTGTTTGTTCTGATTTTTTTTTAAATACAGTTTTATGTTGTTGTTTTTTTGTTTCCTTTAGTAGATTGTATACATGTTTATGACAGTCTTCACGTAATTTCAAAATTTTCTGCCGATATGAGTACTAAATCGCGGATGATTCTTAAGTGCGCGGAAACCGGTAACCCGATGATATGACACAGTTACACACTATCCGTGTGTCATTGACAGTTCTTCCCGTGCAGTTTGCTCTCTACAGGCGTTGACCAGTTAGCACATTTTTCTCATCCAGCCATCCAATTCGACAATGAAAGTTTATTTTTCAACTGTTGGGTCACTCTGTTGAGACCAGTGAACAGTAAAAACAGTATTATAACGTTTTATTTGTGATTAATGCTATACCGAGGCTTAATGAAAATGCATGACCCCCTCCGGATTATTGGTATGCTTCAAGCTGGTATGGGCCAAGCCGTTGTCTCTACACGTTGTCATGTCCATCGATACACAATCCGGGATTTGTGGAGACGACATCGGCGATCGACCATGTGCGGGACGTCCACGTGTGACGGCACGTCAACAGGACAACCATATTCGACTTGTCCATTTGAGAAATCGCTTCCAAACGGCAAGTTTGACTGCACGGCAATCCCTGGGTTGCTACCAATAAGCCCGAGAACTGTACGGAACCGATTGCGTGAACGAGCTATCCGTCCGCGACATCATGCAATCTTCTGCCACGTCATCATGTAGCACATCTGGACTGGTGCAGAAGGCATCTGCGATTTACTCGACGGGATTGGGCAGGTATTTTGTTAACGGACGAGTCGCGAGTCCACCTGGATAGTAGTGACGGACGTTCAAGAGGGTTTCGTCGCGTTGGAAAAAGTTTCCGTGACGCGTGTGTGGTACAACGACGTTCTTTCGGCGGAGGAAGCGTTATGATTTGGGGTGGCATCACAGCCAACGGGAGAACGCCTCTGGTGGTTGTTAACGGGAATTTGAACGTGCTACATTACCGTGACGAGATCCTCCAGACCTACGTCGTTCCATTCGTGCAAGGGCAGCAACGTCGCATTACGCTACAGCAGGACAACGCCAGGCCACACACAGCTTGTGTCGCTATTGACTTTCTGGCCAAGCAGAACGTTGACGTGTTACCCTGGCCTGCTGTATCCCCCGATTTGTCGCCCATTGAACACGTCTGGGATAAAATGAAGCGCAGATTACGGGCATTACCTAATCAACCGGTGATGTTGGCTAATTTGGCTGCAGCGTTGGTACAGATCTGGAATGCCATCCCACAAGCATTCTTGAACTGTTTGATAGGCTCCATGCGTCGACGTTTCCAGGCTTGCATTCGGGCAAACGGTGGACATACGAGGTATTAACTTTGTGAACTCAGTATTGACCCCTACTGTGTTTACGTCACTCCTGAGCGGAACTTATTGATTACATGGAAAATGGAATGCAACTGTTAATAAATAACAAATAAATTGTCTCTGAAAACCTTGTTGTTCTACATCATACATATTTATTTTTATAACACATTTCAGGCATGCACAGTTTCTTTTTTTCCACTAGTATATATTGAAAGTTTTCGTTTGTTTCCGTCAAAAGCAAAGTATGCAAGATTTGCAGGAAGATCTATGTGCTGCAATATTTTTTGATGGTCAACTCATTCACCCCTGAAGACACATTTGAACTCTTCCAGTTCAAAGGTTGGAATAGTTCATTATGAAATTTCAGGGGTGAATGTGTTAAGTAAATCTTGAGAAATGACCTTGGGAAGAATTATTGAAATGTTGACTTCAGAAATATAAGTGCGTTTGGAGGGAAATCATTGCTAATTTCAGTAATAATATCTTAATTCTTTCATTGTACTAGGCCTACTTAGGGATAATTCAGTAACATAACAGTTTCAAAATTTTGCCTTTCTCAAAATGGACATAATGCCGCTCTTATTGGGCCTAACGTCACTGTACCCAAATCGGGAACTTTTTATGTAAATATCAATGTTCTTTATACCATACTATCAGTTCCAAAAAATATTTGTTCATTTATCATAAATAGATACTATACACTTTCCATTTCTATTACAAGTTGATATATCGGGCGCATGGTCTATAAATAAAACGCGAAAAAACGGCGTAACTGTACCCCGAAAGGAACACGTACTTCGGTATAGCTATTATATCTCTAACCAGAAAGTTTTTTAACTACAAACAAAACGTGTATTCTGCATCAAATTTTATATCTTAATTGAAGGCTGTCACGTAATTATTTTTGGCCTATGGTGATGTTTGTATGAATTGAAACTATTTTTTCACTACAGTTCAAAGGCCGGTGGGACTATACTTTTTCCTTTCTCCATAAGAGTACTGGTTTTCTATTTTTGGACCATTCAATTTCAATATTAATAAGCAGTTTTCCTTATCAAATAAGTATCTTCTTCAAATGATTCATCAATAAAGATGAATAGGCTTAGGCGCCATTGTTGTCGTCTGCGTCAGCCACCCGAACAAAAATGTGATGATTTAAACTCATTTTTATAGAGGGACCTCGAATGAAGAAAGTATGCCAAGGAAAACTCGAGCGCGTGAGATACACGATAGTTTCGGCATGTGCTCAACTTAATGTAGTAGTGTCATTATTTGTCATTATTACTTTTAATATATTTGTGGTATTTAGCTATACGCGTTCGTATGTAACGGAAATCAGCCTTCCGTGTAATTTTGTACGTCACGCATTGCGGCAAAACTTTTAGCGCGCGCGCGGAAATAGCACGCGTAAATGCGAGTAAGGTACTGAGCGGATGTGATGTAATGTGTTGTAATCCTGTTTGTCCAGCACGTATTGTCTATGTATAGAATACCTAGTGTGGAATGTAGGGTAATTTACCTGGTGCACTGGTCACTTTGAACAGAGCGGCCAGAGCGAGCACAGCGAACATTTGTACACCTATATCTTTACCTAGCCAGCATAGGAATTAAAAGAGGTAGCGGGCACTAGAGCCAAAAGCAAATAATGTAAGTACTCGCGTATAAATATAAGTTTAATTCATTATAGTATCTATTCAATAATATATTTAATTAACGTAATATTTTTGTTAAAAGTAAAGTTAATATTTTGAAAGTCTTTGTAAATTTAGAAATCGGGCGTGGTCAATTTAGTAGACAAGTGATTTCGAAGAAGCAAGTTTTTAATATATATTGTTTCCTTTTATAGCTTACATTGAACGAGTAAGACTGAGGACTCGGCGGGCTTTGTCCGAGAAAACCCTCTTCACATTGAAGAGGTGGGTATTTTAATATATTTGTAATTATGCTGTATTTCTATATAATATATAGATTGAATGTAACAGTTGTAATACGTATTCCATTATTGTAACTTATGTAACTGGCTACGGCCAGGTAGTTGTTTGACATGTCTTAGCTTATGTGATTGTATAAATGTTATATGTGTAGTAATATGATGTATTTCATGTTACAGGGTTTTTACTTACGTAATAAATTAACTGAGAAAAGAACCCAGGAGTTGTCGTATATCCACGATAAAAGACGACTATTACATTAATCCATTCAGATACAGTGTAATATATAGATGAGATATTACGTGTTATGGGAGCTTTTTAAACCAACTATTGACGGTGAGATCTGGTGCCACATACGAGTACATTGTTAGTACCGATTTTGCCTTCTTGATGCTTAATACTTTACCAACATATCACGTCCAACTATGTGTAATGTTCCAATGAGAAACTATGGTAAAAGGCGGGCAGCCGGCTCCTTCACATAACCGAATAATGTGGCTAGGTAATTAAAACAGCAACATGATAACTGTGGACCTACTAGCTTATAACACCTTCAGCCTAACACGTTTTACGGAAATTCTTAAGCATACTACAGGAACATCAGGGTCTATGTTAAAATACAATTATAAATCATGCAGGTGACGGTTGAATGCTAGGTACACAGGTACTAGCCTCGTCTGTCAATACACCTATAATATACTCG